GTTTTTTAACACCGTTTGTTTAATAAAATGAGATAATTGATTCAGGTTTATTTTGGATTTTTTTAAGTAATTGGCGTTATTTAATGAGGTACTCTATTATAATTGGTATGTTTAAAAGTACTTATTAAGTAATATATAGATTTCCTATTTTTTATAAGATTGAAATTAATCACACGTAAAATTAATTTGTATGATATTTTTTTATTTTATTTTTATTTCCTCTTCACACAAAACAGTCTGAAAGTGGGACTTAATGCCTTAAGGCATTCTCTAACTGTCAACCATAGAGCAGTGCAGATAATTCTTGCGGTTGATGCGAAGCAAGGACACAGAGTCATAGAACAAAATGAAAGGGGAAAAAAATGAAATGTTGTATTAAAATAGCACTTTGCTGCTGTTTTATTCTTTGATATAAAAATTGTTTTTACTCTAATTTACAACAAACAAAACTATTTATAGGATACAGGTTAAAGTTTTCAGCTTCAACATAAAATATATTTTTTTACGCTGCTCACCTCGTTCCGAGAAAATGAAATTTTATAAACGCCGTTTTAATTATTGTTTACTACGAATAGCTGATATCTGCATTCTGTACGGGTTTTTGTTTTATTTGCTATGAAAATATTGTTGGTAAAACGTAAAACAATGGTTTCGCAACCCGGGACCCGAGGTCCGAAGTACGGGGACCTGTGTGGCCAAGATACCATCGCTCGTGACTAACACCCACGAACCCTCGATAACTTCATTTCATTGCTGAATGGGGTATGGTGTAAGTGAACGCGGTGAATATTACATTTTTAAGGGCGACATTCGGGCAGGATTACCCACTGGTAAGTTTTAGGATATTTGAGGATGCCTAAAGAACGTTGTTAGGTAAATATTGTTTTACATCAGATTTCTGTAACGTCGTGTTGGTCCACTTATATCTTTGATATAGAGTAGTAAAAGTATTGCTCTCCCCATATAAATCGCGCCCGTTTATCATACATACATTGCTTTTTAATTGACAAAGAGTTATTAAGCTGGACTTTGATGAATCGGAAAAAAGAGGTTGATCTACGGTATAGAAGTTGTGGTTCCGATTTCTGCTTGGGGCTAATATTTGTTCGCTTGATTGAGTTGCTGCAGGCTGTTTAAATACGTTGCAAGATTGTCTATCCTGTAACAAAAATCATATGGTTAAAAAGTAGATATTGGGAATATATCTAGACCTCTTTGCTGGGGAATGAATGCGTCTGATAATTAATGATATTTGCTTAAGTGCCAATACGTTAAACGTTTAAGGTACGCTTCGTCAATAAACGCATAGCTCCCTCAAATGATGCAGTCTCAATCTTTTTTCCCATATGCACGGATTTTGGTTTCGTGCAATTACCGAGATTGACTTTAGACCATTCTTTGTACTTTGCAAATCTCTGCATAATTCATTTTTCTGTCTGGCTTACTTTTTTATGATTTGCGGATTAAGTTTCACTCTGAATATCTGAATTCTAATACCTTGTTAAATAAGGTACTTTTCTGTCTGTTTGGTGTATAAACGAAATGAATGTGATAATTTGGTTGAGATATTATAGTACCTAAACATTTTCAAGTATTGAAATAATAGTAGCTCCCTTCGCCATCAGTGTTGATAAATATTACATTTTATAATAAAAATTCATATAGACCTACATTAAATGAAGTAAACGTCCTCTATTTTTAAAAAAGGAATGTTAAACCGTAATTATTTATATTTGGAAAAACAGTTAGATTCCTGCCCGCTATCATAGCATACCCACATTCTGTTTAGACGTGGCTTCAAGGAATTTTTGCAAAAGAATGTTTTGAATTAAGAATTAAAATTATCGGGCTTCATACTTTTACTTAGCAAGGAAATGTTCGCTTCATTTTTATTTATAACTTTTTTTTTTAATTGAGTTAGTACAAAAATGTTCAATCGACATTCGTAAAGCAGTTGTGTATTGAGATGGATACCTACCAAATTTATTAATTTTTTTTTTGTGTACTTAATAAAAAAAAAAACATGAATGAGAGCTTTAGTATCTCATTATTAGGAATAGGAAACTTAAAAATTACTTTGTCCGAGAATTAATAAAAACTGAGACCTAGTTCGCTAATCACAATTTTATTATGACAATGTGTACATACCACACAATACTCTACTACTAAGAATATGTTACTGTAACTTATTTTTTTTCATAAATATTATTTTGTATTAAACAGATTTTAATCCATAAAAGTGCTGCAATTATTATAAGACAGAACTAATGTTTGAAAATACGTGAAATCCGAATGTAGCGTTACGAAAATTCTGGGCTCCATGGTAAGCGCTTGGCGCTTTCGTTGGGAGACCATCCACTTCGCAACGTGTCTTTATTATTGTAATCGCTGTTGTTCAAATGCCAAATATTTATTTCAATGAAAAACAATTTAAAATCTATTTTATTTTGTTAAGTTGTAAAGTGTGAATTCATTAATAACAACACAACAGGACTTATTCTACTAATGCCTAGGGACCATAGAGACGTTATAGGCAGAAAAGAACATTCAAATTTGGAATTCTAGGTTTACTTTTCTAATTATTTTATCGTATAGAGGTCGAATGAATTCTGTAGTGCCAATTATGTTGTAGACTTGACTTTTAAAAAAGGAATAGTCACAATGTTTTATGAATTTTTAAATTTGTATTATTAAGTTGCATTTAGTGTATTCACAGACAAGTTTCATATACATTTTTAAAATTCTAAATTCAATTACACGACAACTTACGTAAATACGAAAGTTAGATAAACATTATCTTGCACCGTCGAAGCAATTTGTAAGGCTCAAGTATCTAATGAGGATCTTAAGAAGCGTCCTCCTATTGACATCAAAACGTTGAAAACGTGTAATTAAAAAAAGTCATTAAAAAGATTCCTTGCGATAGTCAGTTAAGTATCTAAAAAATCCTAACGTACAAGTGGTATTTCCTTAACGTCTTATTTAAAGCGGCTAAAAGTTCGATCTAGATAGGAAACGGACCACACTGGGATGTCTCACTCTGAAGGGGAATCGACTATCTCGGATCTCGAAACCGGCGGATGCATTTAATTATTATTTTAAAACCAAAGGCCTCGGCCGGTCAGCACCGAATGACATTTATTTTTGGACACCGAAATAAGATAAGAATTGAAAAAATATTCCGACCGTTTTGTTTTGTACGTTAGAAAATGTATCAGTAGATTTATTATTTAGTATAATTATACCTATTTTGTTTATTTTTAATTGTAACAGTATTTATGGCCAGACTATGTAGACCCGCCTGGCTTCGCACAGTTGCAATGCTGTTGCTTAATTTTTTTGACTATTTAATTAATAAAATTACCTACACATATAAAAATTTCTCATCAATCACTCTATCTATTAAAAAAACTGCATCTAAATTCGTTGCGTAGTTTTAAAGATTTAAGCGCACATCCCTATGTACTATCGACAAAAGCCATCGTTGACCATTTTAAAGGCGATTTTCGTTTGCAAGTCCGTTCTACTGAGTGAGAAGTGATCCCGCCCTTTTAGTTAAAGATGACCAATCACGTTTCATTGCTCAGCAGAAATAAAAAAAATGAGCATTTGTCTATAAACGAAAAGATTTTACTACTTACACGTGTTGTAGAAAAAAGAGTAGGTAGTGAAAGTTACGAATTAGTGTAAGACTATTTAGCAAAAACACGAATTCTCTTGACTTTAACAATATATATCAATTTAAAATTAAATTTATCTTACCATAGTTTTTAGTATTTAAAAAGCTATACTAAGATAAATTTAATTTTATGATAAAAAAACATTTTTGTTTTTCTATACAATACACCAACATTAGGCAAACGCATAACATTGTAGACCTCATCGACACTTTCCATCGAGTGCGATTGTAGGCAAGCGTTAGCCTATTAAATATAATAAAAATTATACATAAACACAATATCTTACTATAGCGACCTAATTAATGTTAAAATGACATTCTTCCCTACGTAAGTAAGAAAATCTAAATTAGGACAGGATAGTCATATAAAAATATCTCGTCTAACGTTCGAGTTCGAATCCCGTGAAACAATCAAGGGTTCCATGAATCTTTCTCGAAAACTAAAAAAACCTTGCCTAATTGTAAACTAAGATAGTTAAGAGATTTTTTCTACCTATAGCTACAACATCTGGTCAATTTTGAAAGAAACAAAGTGCACACTTTGTAAAGTTTTTATGTTTCGTTCCTAACTGACCCCGTTATTATAACAAAGGTTTCAATTACAAACTACAGTGTGTGCTTTATTTTAGCCTTACAGTTAAAGTGGGTGAGAACTGTACCCGATATAAACGATAAATCTGTGATAATTATATACAAGTCAAACATTTTGGCGGCTTGTTCTTTGACAATGGTAAGTAAGAGTTTGTTTATATAAGCATGTTTTCAATTTGAGAGACCGAGTCCCGAATTGTGTTCCTAGTCACGGTGCGGATAACACGATGTGCGCTAGGGGAATATATGAAGCTGTATTAGCTGGAGTGCGGTGAGTTAGCTTAAACAATTTATTTGATATTTTTTTTTATACGATATTACATGTAAAGCATAATATTTATCCGTCAGTCTTTATCAGGAAAAGTGCTTGACAGCTTTTAAGACCAGGTCGACTCCTGTTTAAACTAAATTTTTTATTGTTTTATTTAGTATTTGTTATAATAAAAAATATATTTCCCGGTTTTGCCATGAAAACCAAAAAAGTTAAATATTTTTTTTATATCTCAGTATATAAGTAGATGAGTATTTTACAGATCAATTTTCACTTGCTGCAATCGCAGCCCGGAGGAAGCAGAGGATGCAGTTGACGACTGGTATGATATAATGTTGATAATTATTTTACAAAATATTTATGATAAAAGAATATAATCATGAACTTTACGTTTTCTCTTATTGCCTAGACGTTATTATAACTCGTCTAAAGCATAATTTAAAAACTGTTATCTTTCAGGCTGCAGTGCCAACAGCACCAGCAGCCGTGGCCATCATCATCTTCGCTGTCGTTGTCGAGGTCGAGTGGCAGTAGCGACACCGAATCAATGTTTGTATAATTAAGTTATGATTTATTTTAAAGAGAAGTAAGAAACTTTTTATAGACAAATGTTCAACCCTTATTTAAAGCAAATGAAGAATTATGATATTATTTTTAAACTAGACTCTGTTCGCGACTTACTAGATTAATAAAGTTAAACTGTATTTGAATGATTTAGTAATCTGAAAATTAAATATTTTAAATTCTAAAACTGTATTATTTTTTCTTAGGTCGCTGCCGCCGTCATTAGTTGGGTCGGAAATATCCTGCTCGGCGAGCGACCCGGGCCCTCAAGAGGGTGCCCGTGCTCCGCCGCCTTCGCTGCGGCTGTCGCGGCTGCAGCGGCGAAGCCGGCTACAACGGTATCTCTCGCGACGCCGGCGCCTATGTGAATGTAGAGTGTGCGGGGCATGCCACACTTAAAAATATTATATTTCATTAAACTTTACTTACCATTTCTTATTTTATTCATTTGAAGCACATGCTTCACACTCATCCGGGGGAAAGTGGTCATAGACGGCCATTGGGCAATTTACACAAAAAAAAAAGTTTTCCTCACTGGTAACTGCTAAAATATTATTGTTTATGCTAAAATCTATGATAAAATGTTCTGGCAAATAATCAGGCACTGGATAGTAGCACCCAGGACAAAGTTCCCGTTTAATGAAATGGGTTTCACCCCATGGCCATATTTGTCCGTTTTCGAACATTTCTATAAAGTCATCTACACTTAAAAATCTGTCTACGTCCATAAAAATGTCATCCATTATATAAAACTTAAACCAGATCACTTAATCAAAAAGCGCTACCTAATTAATATAAACTACGATACTTAATATATCACTAAATCAAAGAGCACTATCTACTGAAAACACTAAAACTACACAAAGAACATTGAAAGGGTAACTATGACCTTTCAGAGCAAAACCTTACGAAATACTGACAATATTGACCAAACATTTTTAATATTTCTGTTACAAAAGTTATTCTTCTGTTCAAGGGTCAATAATATATGAAATTTATTAGTTGCACTTCAAGTGATTAGGAAACCACTTTTCACCACTATGCGAGCTTGCTGCACTATGCGAGACCGGTGTATCGGGCAGTTATCCTGAATAAAAGTTATTTCAGGATGTTCTGCCTCTGGATAAACCACTCTCACAGTAGGCAACATTGTGTCTTGCAACAGCTCCAAGTAGGTTGCCCCTGTTGCTCTTCCGGGGATATAAACCAATTCCCCGGGGCCTGCTGCACTCATCCAAGCCCACATGTTGACGACCACCCGCCCAGACTCATTGTTGGGTAGGACATTCCTAGGTTCGTATCTGGTGTTGTTCACACGCCATAAATGTCGTCGGCCTATCTGACTTGATTTAAAGCTCTTTTCGTCGGTAAATATGACGCGTGAAAAATCAAAGTCCCTGTAATCTCGAGCGAATCGGACACGAGCTGTTTTATGGGCTTCAGTGAGTAAAATCTTTTTCGCTGGTTTTCTATTCCTTATTCCCGCACGCCGTAGACCATTCCTAATGGTTTGAGCTGTGCAGTCAAACTCCTCGGCAAATAGGCGAGTAGGCGTGAATGGATGCTGCTCATAAACTGAGACCATACGCTGCACACGTTCCTGTGTGAGTATGCTCGGTTGCGGCATACGTGGCATCCTTTCTAGACTCCCCTCGCTGTCGAATCGGCGAAGCCATAATTTCACCGTATTTCGCTGAAATGAAAAAAAAAAACATTTTATGGCTCAATGTTTAAGGAATCTAATCTAAGAGTTCATACAAAAAATTAACACAAACTGAAAAAAAAAAATAAGTAAGTCATTTCATAATTACTGGATATAAAAATATTAAACATTAATTTACTTTTACAAGGATAAATGGACCGTTCATAAAAGCTGTGTTGTCTTATCCACTCAGCTAGGGGAAGTTTTGAGACCCTTTCTAAAAATTGTGAAGTGCATAGATATTGAGCAAATAATTTATAATAAATAATACTCACCGACATATTCAATTCTCTCGATATTTCTGATATATTTAACCCAGAATCTCTTAGATTGATTATGCTACTCCGTTCCACAACTGATAGATTTCTGTGTTGGCTCATAATGAAGAATTACTTTCTCACTCAAAATAAAAAAAAAACGTTGTTGGTGTAAGACTCACAAGTTGCAACTGAAGTAACAAAATTATCAAAAACTGACTTAACCTCGCAAGTCATAAAATTGGGTAAACAAAAAGGTGGCCCATTAGTAAAAAATGGACCTTTCTCTGTAATTGGTCAAATAGAAAAGGGGCGGATCGCCATGTGGTCATCTCATGCAAGCAAAAATTTTTCATAATTGGTCAACCATGGCCTTTGGCGATTGTACCTATGTTCAAATCTTTAGTTGCTCTCTTGTAGGGACACAGCATGCGACTTTGTTCTTCACTTTGTAGTGATTTATTTACTAAAAAAAATAACTATATTTTCACTTTCATTAAAGTCTAAATACTAGTTATTTATGTAAATCAAAACTGTAAATAATATTTTTTTACCTACTACCGAATTTCACGTCATCAATCAAAGCAAATGCAAAAAGCCAGGACGTTATTTGGCTAAAATATTTCGAGTGAATTTCGAATGATGGCTAGCGAAATTTTTCGAGTCTGTGGTTTGCCAAAATATTGGATTTGCCACATTCAAACTGTGTTTGCCTGTGATTTTACCTGTTTCCATGCAAATAATATAATATTAACATATAAACGCCCTGATATATTAACTTCAGTGTTTGTTACACACTGACCGCAATTCGGGTGCCATTCCAAATATATTTTGAAGCTTTCTTAATTAAATAAAACATATAAAATATTGTTGGACTTTATTGATTACAACTTGACTAGCTGTGTGCACACAAATGCATTATTATCCTGTTTTGTTAGACTGCGTTACGTATAACCACGATAATAATATCGAATTAATTAGTTTTATTGGATAAATTTTACAAAAAAATTTTTTTTTTTTTTAATATGTTATAGGCGGTTCTAATCTTAAACATCGTATTCGTTTGATTTTTATTTAAAAATTGCAATAACTGGTTTTAATACTTACCTACTGTTCTTAAATTAAAATTTAAGACAATTTTCAAATTTGGAACTAGTTCCGAATTTCTGCTAAATTGTTACAACGTTAGTACCACGATGTTCCTACACTTGACTTATCTTATTGTCCCTAATTAACATTTTGAGAAATAAGTAAAGGCAGCGGGGGTAAAATTTCTGTATCTTTATATACTGTACATTTGAGTATTCCACTTCCTCGTAAAGGAAAAACATTCCCCGATGTTATTTGAACCATTCCACAACTTGATGAGAGGTTTAGGATAACCGTCGGTTCTCGATTTTGATTTCGTTTCACATTCGTGAATTGTTATAGCTATGTGTACGAACTTGAGCCCCTGCGGCCTCACGTGCGCACTGAGCGGAGTTTAGGGGTAACTTTCTCGTGGAAAATGTGATTTTCCTTCACCCTGGAACTTTGAACTCTGCATGACATATCTAGTAGAGTCTAAATTTCTCTGAAACAATATATACCTAGATAGAAGAAAAAGTTTTTTGAGTCTTACACATTAAATCGTAGTTTTCTTAATTTATAATAAATACCAAATAAAGTAAAGCACGATCTAACAAAGAATTTAATTATAAAACGTCAAAGAAAAACGAAGGTTATTTATTGTATTATAATTTAGCATAACTCCTGATGAATTTACGTTGGCAGCGTGTGCGAGCGTCCCTGGCCAGACAATGAGCGTTCGTGGCGAAAAGCCATAAAACTTTTATATTTAATTAGTACACTGATGATAACGTATATTAATTGCCGGCTACCGATTTGACACGAGTTTTCTTGAACTCCTCTACAAAATCATTATAGCGTGTAGATTTTTTCCCTCCCTAGACATTTCTGTTATCTTGATTCTAAATTGCAACTTAATGCAAGCACGTTATAATTGTTTTTTCCTTGAATCTCAACATACAAAAAATCAATTAAGTAGCTAAATGTATGTTCTTTTGTCAGGTGTTGGATGAGAATTATAATCATAGGTTTTAATCTATGCAATCTAGTATCTATCTGGATGTTTATTGAATATAAAATAAAATTATAGACTTTATTCATTGAATGTAAAATGATATATTGTATCATATTTTATGAGTTTTATTTCGAACATTTTTCTATGTAGGTAATTATGGTTTAGTTACACAATATCTTTACTCTATAATAAAAATTAAGTAGATAAAAATCATAGCTGAACATGACTAAATGCTTTTTGCAAAGCAGCACTATTAAGCGCTGTACAGCTTAATAATTTCTTCCTATTTTTCGCAGGTTGTACGGCTCAAAGCGATGTGCTCGCTGCAATACCCCAATCTCTGCTTCGGAACTGGTGATGCGTGCTCGGGACCTGGTGTTCCACGTCCACTGCTTCTCATGTGCTCTATGCAGCACCCCACTCAACAAAGGAGACACCTTCGGCATAAGAGACTCAGCTGTTTACTGCAGGTTAGTTTTTTTATGTAATAGGTCTGCAAACGAGCATACGGATTACCTGATGGTAAGCAATCAGCGCCGCCCATGGACACTCGCAACGGAGGAGTCCGTTGCCGACCTTTTAGGGATTAGGGATTTAGAGATTAGGGATTGAGGAGGGATTGGGAGAGTAGAAGGATTGAGTCTCCGGTAACCTCACTCACACGGCGAAACGCAACGCTGTGGTTGTTTCACGCTGGTTTTCTGTGAGGCCGTGGTATCACTCCGGCCGAGCCGACCCATTCGTGCCGAAACATAGCTCTCCCACACTTATTTGTGATAAAATTGGAGATTTGCATAGAAATTGATATTATATGGCTACTTAAGTTAAACTGGGGTTGTGGGTCAAGCGCAATAATACTTTGGCCCCGGCCTGATCCAGGAGATAGAACGGGGCTGTAGTAGTCAGTAAGAATCTAACACTCTTTCGCCCCATCTAGAAAGAGAAAAGTCATTTGATGATTTGATCCTATCAACAAAAAGCATAAAACATAGCGAAGATACATATCTATAGAACTTGGATTGAACTTGTTAAAATAGCCTATTATTAACATAAAGTACATGAACTATATTTCAAAGTTAACATTTAACTAACTACAAGCAACTTAGAAGATCAGAACGCGAGCAATGTATGAAGGTAATGATCAGACATTAAGCGTTCTCAGTGTATAAGTTTGAAGCAACCCAAAGACACAACATTGAAGACATACGCCTTTCACGACTCGCTTTCTAACGGAATGTGACAAATGTTGTCGTATTCAATGAATTAAACCACTATATTCGGTTTCAAAGCTCTCTAACGAACATAAAGTTTCAGCTAAACTTTCCCGCTTTGAGTAACAATGATCAGAATATAAGGAAAGTTTTGTTTCGCAGGCTGCACTACGAGACTATGCCGGACTACGGCGCTCACATGGCTGTGCCAGGCCCACCACAAATGTGCCCAGTGCCCTACGCTGCTGGCCCCGCTCCTGGACCTCACTACCCCCCATACCCTTCCCCAGAGTTCGCTCGTGTGGACAATGATGTTCCTAAGGGGCCCTTCTTTAACGGCTCCACAGCACCCCCTCCACGACAAAAAGGAAGACCCCGAAAAAAGAAGCCCAAAGACCAGGAATTGATGGCTGCGAATTTAGGTGAGTTTCGAAACGATGCCTTAGCGAATTCATACAGCGAACTTATTTACATTTAAATAATTTTTAATCGTCTTCGCATGTTGCCATCTTGTCGGTTTTACATCGAACATCGGCCCTCGTTTCGCCGACAAAACGCTAACAATTTTATTAACACATTAAAGTCAAAACCGCACTTACCATCGCCAGATTATTGGAGTGACTTCCCGTGTGTTTGTTCTTTTTTAAATTATTTTTTTATCGAGATACAGAAACCTGTCTTTATCTGGCCAGTTCGGTCGGGCGACGGGAACTCTTTCAAATTTGAAATTAGTACGTTGCGTGCACGCCGCGAGAACGATGAAATAAATCTTCAAGTTTTGATAGTGATTGAAGTTCAAGGAAACCATAACTATTTTTGACAACACTACCTACTATTTTGTAACAGCAACGATAAGTTAAACAGTAAATATAAGCTGTAAACAAATTAACGCTTATTATTGCAAATAAAATCATTTAAAAACAAAATTCGATTTAAAATTTTAGGGTTTTATTCAATCGTGATTATATCTGATCAGTTCCTAAGTAAGTACTTGGTATTAATACACACATATTGTATATAGTTGTGCAGCAAAACACTCTACAGGTAGTTTGAAACATAAACGTTGGCACCTGAAATTACGCAACTAACAATAAAATAGTTATAATCGCGGCAAAGTGTAACTGCCATTACAAAGCACCGCATTCGTTTTTGCATTCATAACGTACGGCCATACTTATTAATTATAGCTCATAAAAATTACCTATTTATGCGGTCCAATAGCTGCTGTATTGTAACAAAATCGTCACGGTTTCTTTGATATGCACAGTACTCACACTAAGCGGTACTGCGGTACAACGATTGATTAAAGATAACTTTATAATATAATCACCATTTACTTAGTTGCACTTTAAATGGAATGGCTTTGGTGTTCTTCTCCATAAAATAAATTATTCTAAATAAGTGGTAAATTCGGAATAACGAATTCTGTTTTTTGGGTCATACTGTATCTGAAAGCAAAGTGCTACATTTAAAAATCTATCTTTAAATGTTAGGCTTAGAACAGAACGTAGAGTTCTTTATTCAACTTACATAGAGGAAAATCAAGTAAAATAGTAAACTAAGTCCTAGGTACTTGAATTAAAACCATAAATCTGAAAATGTTTTTCAATGAAGACTTTAAAAAAGTTGCCTTTGTGAATTGAGTGATTTATAACTGCGTGCAAATCTTTAGGGATTTTAAAAAAATCAAACGTTTCATACTTCTATTACTATTGGCATTCATTGGATTGGATTTGAAAAAACTCCGTTTCTTGCTATAGAGACATTTTGGGAACACGAATTTTTATGTGCTTATTTTTTAACTATCTTGATTGACACCATTAGAATGTTTAAATCCGTAATACATGTAAAAATCTTAAAAAACAAAGTACAACTAAAATAAATAATAACAAAAAACAAACAAAACATCGTCTTTACATCAAAACAAACAAATGATCGCCCAGTGCGCCACCAAAATGTATGCCAATTTTGTTGTTTGGTGTTCTAAAATCTCGGCAAATGGTCTAAAATAGCGTTGGAACCTGTTTCTCACGTGCGTTGAGGCAGTTTGCGTGCTTTAAGTTCATCATACTCTCGCAATTTCAATGAACCGAGCCATCCTCTTAGGACACGACTTATACTACTAATGCCTAGGGACCCCAGAGCCGTTTAAGGGAGAAAAGAACATTCAAATTTCGAATTCTACGTATTTTCTTTTTTACGTTTGAGGGAGAAAATAACATTCAAATTTAGAATTCTAGATGTTTTCGATTCTTTGTTTTAGGAAGAAAAGAACACTCAAATTTAGCATTTTTCGTATTTTCTTTTCTAATTATTTTATCGTACATACAGGTGGAATGAATTCTGTAGTGCCAATTATATTGTATTAGTAACAATATTTATATTTTATGCATTATTCGATGTTTATTCAGAGTGGTACTCACATATTGATAATAATGCGCTGTATTCTTATTTTCTGCTTATTTCAAGTGATACAAATGTACATTCCAATTTATTTTATTTTATAGACCAACTTATTTATAAAATCTATACCTATCTGAAGAAATTACTATTTACATTTCTTGTAAAATACAAAAGCAAAATAACAACGCACATATTCGTAAATCATCAATTAAACATTTAAACATTGCTAGAGAAAAAACAACACGCTTTATATAAATTAACACAGACAGTGTTTAATAATTTACTAAATAAAAAAAAGTGGAGAACTCTACAGAAGTCAATGAGTGGCGACTTATGAGCAATTTTTTTCTCTCTCATCTATTGTCGGAAAATAACAGGCAAGCTCGCGTGCTCGTACTATATTAACCTGGAATGTGTAACATGCATCTAAATAACCTGGTTACAGCAACCATTGTCATGTGGAAGAAAGCAAATTTTTTGGTTTATTGTTCGCCAGTGAACAACGTGGGAACTTTACCTTACATTATAAGTTATATTAATTTCTTTTTTATTAAATATTATTTTATAAATAAATTAAATTATGGACCGGTATGTTCTTGTAGCATATCCATTTTCTGACAGCGATATTTATCGTTCCATGTATTATATACGAGCTGAAACTATTCCCATGCGAGATTGGCTTAAAATCTGTTTTTTTCGGAAAAGCTTTTAAAATCCTGTTGTAATAAAAGTAACTTTTAAAAAAGTCATCTTAAAAAAGTACATTTTGGTAATATGTATCTGGTATCGGGCTGTATGCCGCTTTACATTTATGTGTTTTATTTGTCTGAAAAACTGTTCGATGGGAATCAAATTAACTTAGGAAGTACTAGACAGAAAAAAGAAAAAGCAACGAAGATTTCTCTCCTCTAGGATACAATATAAAATGATTATCTAATGCCGATTTGGAGGGCATGGGCGTAAAAGTACATTCAATTTTAGTAAAGAGGTGCATCGAGCGAGAATGAAAGGAAACACCGGTAGAGGGCGCTCGAGGCGAAATTACATTAGCCAAATGGGTGATGTGCAATAAGTCCAAAACGAAACCACAACAGTCGAACATGCACGAATTGATTGATTAATATGGATGTAGGGAGAGAAATGCTAGAAATCGACAACACATCCAAACATGTACACCTACCCTTACGAAAGACATTATAATAATATCAACGTAGGTATGTATTGTTACGACTTTTTAGCAGGGCAATTATATTTTTTCCGACGAAATATATCTGACAGACACAAGGGTCTCACCCCATGTAATAGAACACCGAAATACGAGGTTCTATTCCGGGTTTATGTACACACATTAATCTTATGACGGATGGGGGTGGGTTTGTAATATTTTTTTTTATAAATTTGTCGCTTATTATTGTGATAATGTTGCGGTTTTATCGTTAAATCGCTTTGGGGTTTGTAATGTCAGTTGGGGGTCTTGTTTTTCGTCCCTAGACAATATGCTTCTCATTCAAGCATATTTGCATAATTAACTTGAAAATCCTTGGTAACGAAGAAAGGGTTGTTTTTACGTGGTATTTTGCTCTCGTAGAAAAGAATAAAAAAAATGTAAAATGATAGTTTTTTTTAAGTAATACGCTCTATCATACAATAGCGTACAAGTGGGTCTGTCTAGAGCTAAAACAGAATGTCTATAAAAACCTTTGTGTACCATAAATATTAATATCTTAATTTCTGAATTCCCAACAAAGGAAAGAGAACAAAACTAAATGTCATGTTAAAACTGAGCACTTAATATGTATGATTGAATTAAGTATCTCCATAACAAATGGAAGTGCCATCATTAATATCATATTTAATGAATTATTTATAAGACGAATGTAATACACCAAATTAAATACAAAGATAAACTACCAACCAATAGGTACTCAGATCCGTAAACGCGCTACTGTTTCAAAAACAAGCACATTGCTGTAGAACGATCGTAATTGGCTGGTGACCTACATATAAGAAAATAATTGGCAGCCAGCATAATTCATTGCCTTTTAAAATAACATTGAACATGTGCAAAATACCGATGTTGAGCATCGCCCAACCGGAGTGCCGAAGTCCGGAAAAAAAGTCACCTCGAAAATAACCGCACGATCTCGTCTTTTTAATGTACGTTTTTTAATTTTACTCTCAGCCTACGTATAAGGCACACAATTTGCCTAATAAGAGCTAGTCGGCACCTGTCCGCTCATGATTAAGCGATTACCGCTTACAATGCTGCCGTACGGAGACACCAATAAATTATATGACACTGTATTGGATACTTTAAATAGTTATAGCGTCCGACTTTAGTCAAGCCTCTTTTTGCTGCGTCCGGCCATTTTCTTGAGTCGCTTGTTTTTTGCGACCAGTTCTAAAGTTGTTGGACGACGGTGTCTATTATATGGGAACGTAGGTTTGCGTAAGGAGGTGAAAGGCGGAGTCCTATACCGGCCACGTGAGTCTGGGCATTACCTTAAGACTATTGCTTAATTTTGTTGACAAAAATGCAATTTGTCCTTTTTGTTCGTTAACAAAAGTATTAACAACAGACTAAATAGGTGCAGCTCTTAAGACTCATACTTCATTAAAGCGTCGATGCTAGCATACTTACCCTCAATCAATATAATATGCGCCGTAGCCAATAGAATTTTCCCGAAATTGTTTTTCGTCTGCGGCAAACTTCCATCAGAACTTTTAAAGAGTTTTTACTTGGACCCTCGGTAATAACAGAGGCCAAAGCTGGCAGCCACATCGCGTTGTTTTGCATCAAATTCTTTACCGTAAATGCATCAGTCGTTTTATGATATCCTCTCTCTTTGTATTATTTTTCTTATTAGGCTTTAATCGATATAGATAATCGGAGGGTTCTTTTTTTTTATGGCGTCTTCAGATTAGGTAAAAAATTAAAAGCTATGGATAGTTAAATACGTTTATGTGTACGGTTTTTAATTTCAATCAACACAATCACATTACGACACACACCAATCTA